CGGGTCGTGACCCATGACAAGCTGGGCTGGTTCAGCCTGCGGGTCGACCCGGCCCGCGCCCAACCTTACCTCCAAATACACAAAAATTGACCATGAAACAATAGAAAATATTAAAAAGCAAAACCCAAAAAAAAAAAGTAAAGGGAAATTACCGGTGTCTCCGATGATGATGTACTTGAAAAGGTAAGCGTAAGACATCCTTCGTCCCAATTCAACAAGTTGAATAACACAAGCAAAGATTGTAACAGAGAAAAGGAAAAGGGTTTTAAATAAAGGACGGACCTCGAAGTATATCAACAGAGAGAAGCAATGAGAAGAGATCCAATCGAGTGGGAAAGAGGAGGAAGATGAGTTTTTTTGTTTCTCTCCTCAGTTCATTTGTTTTGTCGTTTTATACCGACCGAAAGCAATTGAGATGATCTCGAAGTAACTTAAATTTAGTTGGGACATTAAATTACGACCCAAACTATGTTTTTTCTGTATGCACGTTTGAGTAAATTTAGAGATTTTGTATCCGTTGTCTATTACACTTTAGTATTGTTTTATCAATAAAATGAATAATATTAGCTTTAAAAATAATTCAATATGGCAAATCAGTACAGAGTTCTATTTTTTTAACATTTGTTTAAAAAAAACGGGGGTGGGGGGGGGGGGGGATGAAGATAATAAACCAAAGTAGAACTGGGCCTGATAAGTGCCAGTGGTCTAGAACGGCGCGAGAGGTGGTTGAAGGCCTGGCCCATGTAGGATCAAGGCAGTGGCAATTTGCTTCTTTTATTTCTTTCTTTTTTCTTCTTATTTTTGGATGAGTGGAACTTTAACAAACTTATTTGGATATTAATTTTTTGCAATATATATTTCGAACTTACTTAATAACAATATGAGACGTAGATTATACCAATCCCTCTGTTATCTTAAAAAGAAACGACCACTGGAGAGTGATTAGGATTATAAAATTATAATTCTATCCTTTTCTTAGCTTCCGAACAACTCACCCAACAATATGTTCATATCCCACTTGTAAAAATAAAACTCCATCAGAAGAATAACCTTTATTTCTTTTCTTTGTATCTTTTTATTTCTTTTCGATAAATTGAAGTACCTTTCTAAAAATCGTCTTCACCAACTTCAGGGATCTTCCGGCTTCCTTTCTGTGCCATCGCCTTTTTATCATATTGTGTTGGGATTAATCTAACGACAACTCGTGCCCTTCGAATCTTGTGTCAAAAGAATAGCAAGCAAGAACTTACATCAAAAATAAAAATTGCATGAAAAGAACAAGCAAAGAAGAGAACACCAGATTTATTAAGGTTCGGTAAACGTGCCTACGTCCTCGGGAGCCACACCAGAAATTCTTTGATTATTGAAGAATATTACAAGCTTACAAAAGACTACTCTCTCTCTCTCTCTGAGATCTCTCTCTCAAAGTGTTCAGAAAACTCTCTCAAAGACGCCCTTAACAATAGCCAAAACAACTTTGTATTTATACAAACCCTAACTCCCAATCAGACCAGGAAACAATTTGACCCGACATCGGTCGACTGATGCACTTGCATTAGTCGACTGACTAGAAGGATATTTTCGCAGTCTGCACCCATGCATGTTCTTGGTCGACTGATGAGATCCCATCAATTGACCGATCAGAGCGATTTCTCCAGGCTGTTTTTGTTAGTTGAATCAGTCGACTGATGGCTTCCCTTCGGTCGACTGGCCAAGGGATTTTTCCTGTGTGTTGATTTGTTCTCAGGTTTCGGTCTACACACCTAAAACTAACAATCTCCCACTTGGAGACCAAACCTCCATCAACAAGCTCTCTTGAACTTCAGTCATCTTTGCAAGCACCTTCTCCTCGCTGGAAAATTTCTTTCTTCAACCAATATCATTTTTGGTGATCTCACCTATCCTCCTAGTGTGGCTTTGCCCTCATCTCCTATGCATGAAGACCAACTAAAATTACGTACAACTCCAGTTTCTCAATGGTCACTGTCTTTGTCAACATATCTGTAGAATTTTGGCTCCCCAAAATTGTCTCTAATAGTAACTTCTCGTCCTCTATCAGCGAGCATATGAAGTGGCAACGTACGTCGATATGCTTCATTCTGGCATGATATATTAGATTCTTGGTAAGGTGTATAGCACTCTGACTATCACAATAAAGAACTATATTCCCCCGCTTCAGACCCAACTCTTTCAGACAACTAGTCAACCAAATCATCTCCTTGCTAGCTTCAGTCACTGTGACATACTCTGTCTCAGTCGCGGACAATGTCACTATCTTCTACAAACGTGAGACCCAACTCACTGTTGTCGACCCTAAGGTGAAAACATACTTTTTGTGGGAAAATTGAAGAAGAAATAAGAATAAAATTTGTATTAATCTCCCTAACTGACTTAAAAAAGAATGAATACAATCTCTCACTGTAATCTCTCTCTAACTGACTTAGAAAAAGAAATTATAATTTCTCTTGTCGGTTTCCCTATTTACAAAAGAGAGAAAGGATCAACGAAGACCCTCCCCTTTGTTTAAAACTGAATTCTTCTTGGTATTAATGGGAGCTTGATTCTTGTATCCCATTGACGATCCGAGTGCTTCGCTTCGTAGAACTTGGTCTTCGCCTCTTGGCTTGATGTCTTGGATGAACTTGCAAAACAAGTTTTAGAACTCTGAACGAGTTTAGAAGAACTTGACGAGCAAGTTGAAAACTTTGCAAAAGAGTTGATTTGAGAAAGGGGTTTCAATCCCTTTTAACCGAAATAAACTTGCTAGGTAGGTTAAACTGGAGCCGATCAAGATGCTTCGAAAATCCCACCTTCAAAGAAAAAATCGAGGCGATCCCAAAAGCTAATCCTCCAGGATGATCCCGAGATCTCTACTCCTTGCCAAGATCCGAACTAAAGATCCCAAGTCGAGATCCGAACCTTCATAACCAAAAATGATCAAAGATCCCCCCTCAAAAGAGATCTCTGTTGCCGATCCCAATCTGCTAGCCGATCCTATTTAAGCTGATTTTTAGCTATTTATAAGAGATTAAGGGGTGTAACTAACCCCTAAAATCACTCCTTAGTGGGGTGTAATCCCCCTCAAATCATGGGAAATGGTTTTGGAACCATTCAGCTCGTGTTTGAACGAGTCAAACGTGAAATTCGCGTTCTGGGAATGAACTCTGCGTCTTGAACTTCGGACACGGAGTTAGGCTCTGCATTTGGGTTTGAAAACACAATGGTGAACCCTGCGTTCTGTTCTTGGAACACGGCTGTGAGTTTCGTATTTTGTTCTTGGGACGTAGAGATGAGCTTTGTGTCTTGACTTTGGAATGCAGTGGTGAGCTCCTACGTCTTGAGGTGAAGAGACCGTTAACTTGTAGTCTTTTTTATTAGAGCGTTGTAATTGTTGTCTCGTAATCTTCGTCTTGGATCTTTGAAATGTGAGAGTCGTCAGTTGTAACTCTTGTTAATGATTGTGAAGGTTGTCAAATCAAAAAATTCATCGATTGTTATGAAGGTCGTTGAATTATAATCTTCATCGATTTTCGTGAAAGTCTTCAAATTGTAGCCTTCTGGAAGTCGTCGAATTGTAACCTTCATTATTAATGCTTGATGGGAATCAGCTATCTACAATAATTTTTAGACAGCCTACAGAACTCCCTCTAAAGTTTTTAAAAGTTTGCGGTTGACTGGAATGAAATTTTGGAATATTTTGGATCCTAATTTTGGTTGACCTTGGAACTGATGATTCCTCATTATAATGGAGTTTGTTCCCCGTAATCTGTCTTGAAGGCATTGTGAATTCGATTGTAGGATTAGTATGAAGGTGCCTGTCGTGGCCCTTCTTCTGAAGTGTGGAAATAAGCTTTGTTATTTTGAAATGTGGAGGTGAGCCTTGCGTTTAGAATTTGGAACGCAAAATTGAGTCTCGCGTCTTGAAAATTGATATGTAGAGGTGAGCCCTGCGTTTTAGGAGTCAGATCGACTTAGTGTGAACGTGTAGATCGTGTTTGGATGGGATTTTTGCCTCTAATACCGTTCTGATTTGACAGCTCCACCTGTCTATAACTAGACCGCTAGGGTCAAATCAAGAGTTTACTTGACTCTTTGATTTTCTGTTCAAGCCTTTTTAATGAAAATCTTTAGTTTAACTCTGACGAACACAATTCATCTCCTCTGAGACGAATCATCCACATGGCTCCCAAGAAAACCGCTACAAAACCCAAGAAAGCCGACGCGTCAGCTTCAAGTGCACTGGTGGCCTCAGTCACTGGTGGCGTTGCTGCTCAGGCGACTGCACCATCACCAGCTCTGATCATCAGTGGTAAGCTTGAACTATTAACTTGCTTCGACAAGTTCTAAACTGTAAATGTTGAGCGAGGCTAACGCAGGGTTGATCCTTGTGTTTTAAACTTGAAACACGAGTCTGAGCTTTGCGTTTTGGGCTTGGAACGCAGGGCTGGCCATTGCGTTTTGAACTTGGAATGTAGGGTTGACCCTTGCGTTTTGAATTTGGAACGCAGGGTTGTCCCTTGCGTTTTGAACTTTGAATGCAGGGTTGACCCTTGTGTTTTGAATTTGGAACACGGGGTTGACCCTTGCATTTTAAATTTAAAACGTGGATCTGAGCCTTGCGTTTTGTTGCTTGGAATGCAGGGCTACTCCTAGCGTTCTCATTCAAATTTTTTAGACTTTTTGGCTCTCCACTGTTTCTTTTGTGTAATGCTTTCACTTGAAACACTAAAAGAAAGTTAGAAGTTCCAGAGGTGTAGTATTAACTTGGCATGAATTTATTACGATTTGAGCAACTTTGTGGACTTATCATCCTATTAAAGAGGATTGATAAGTTGATTCTGTCAGAGGTGTGATATGAACTTGACATAATTGTGTTGCGATTTGATCAACTTTGTGGACCTATCATCCTATTAAAGAGGATTGATAAGTTAATTCCATCAGAGGTGTGATATAAACTTGTCAGGCTTGTGTTGCGATTTGAACAACTTTGTAGACCTATCATCCTATTAAAGATGATTGATAAGTTGATTCCGTTATAGGTGTGATATGAACTTAACAGGATTGTGTACTTGTGGTTTGAACAAGATTTTAAGGATCTATCGCTCTATTGAAGAGAATCGATAAGTTATTTTTACCAGACGAGCGATATGAGCTGGGCAAAACCAGAGACTTGTGATTTGAACAAAATTTTAAGGACTTATCGTTCTATTGAAGCGAGTCGATAAGTTGATTTTGTCAGAGAAGTGATATGAGCTAGACAAAATCATTGACTTGTGATTTGAACAAGATTTTGAGGACTTATCGCTCTATTGATACGAGTCGATAAGTTGATTTTTGTCAGAGAAGTGATA